CAACAAAGGTCTGTCTAGTCAAGGCTATGGTTTTTCCAGTGGTCATGTATGGATGTGAGAGTTGGACTATAAAGAAAGCTGAGCGCCAAAGAATTGATGCTTTTGAACTGTGGTGTTGGAGAAGATTCTCGAGAGTCCCTTGGAATGCAAGAAGATCCAACCAGTTCATCCTAAAGGAGATCGGTCCTGGGTGTTCATTGGGAGGACTGATGTTGAAGCTGAAACTCCAGTACTTTGGCCACCTGATGTGAAAAGCTGACTCATCTAAAAAGACCCTGGTGCTGGGAATGATTGAGGGCAAGAGAAGAAGGGGACAACAGAGGATGAGATGGTTCGATACCATCACCGACTCAATGAACATGAGTTTGTGTAGGCTCCAGGAGTTGGTGATGGACAGGGAGGCCTGGCGTGCTGCAGTTCATGGGGTCACAGAGTTGGACAAGACTGAACTAAACTGAGCTGAACTTAAGTGAAAAGTTTCCGTGATTCACTGGAAGGCCAACAGGGGGCGCGCGGACACCACTAATCAATGAAAAAAGGTTTCTTCGCCCGGTCCTGGGAGAGCGCCTCTGTAGGAGGCCGCAAGAGGGTGGAGGATGTCTCCTTATCAGTTTTATTGGCGAGTTTGAGAGTTCTGAGACTTCGTTTCAGTGGGTTTGGCCAGAGAGAAAAGGCGTCGCTGCTCAGAGACCAAGTTGGTGCTCCTTTGATAGTGCACTAAGAAATCTTCAATCCGAGTCCCCGCCAGAGACATTTTGTGTGAAGGCAAGCCCGGAACGTTGCATTTCTGGGCGTCCAATGAATGTTGTGCTTTCTTTTCGCACAGAAACTTGAGCGAAGCCATTTTTACAAAGAAAATGCGTGAAGCAGAGAATTAGAGCGAGTTGGGGCCGATTTTACAGATTCGGGCTTTTTTCCTGGCGCGATGAAGGGACAGTTCAGGGAATGGGGAACTTGGCGGCGGCGATGGGACGACGGGACGGTGTTGGGGACGCCCTGGGGGTGAGTCGGAGCGCGGTCCCCACCCGAGGACGGGGGAGCTGTGTGCCCCTGGAGATGCTCTGGGACTTTCAGGCTGTCTTTCAAGGAATTGGCCTTGAAGTGGGGGAGTAAGTATTGAACAACTGAAAAGGAGGGATATTCAAAAACTAACAGGAATGTATGCCTTTAAATTTATATTTAATTATATTTGTCTCGTTAAATATTTTAAAACTTTTATTTTTGCAATATTTTTATGAAAACATTTTAAATATTAGATATATGATGAAAAAAAGGAGGAGTAAAAAAACAATAATAATGAAAAAAATATAAAAAATAGAAAAAAGATATTAAGGTATGCATATTAAAATATGTATTAATATTTATTAGTATTTTATTCTATTTAAGCTATGGTTTATTTATACTGAAACAAGAATTTAATATGATTTTACTTTCCTGGCTTTAATGGAAGCAAACTCAATATATTCAAGATCACTTCTATATTTGTTTGACAATTCTTGTCACTCTGTGACAGTCTTAAATAATTTTTATTTAACCCGAGTTTCTGAAACACCACTGCCAGCACCCCACCTTGAGTGTAGTGTATAAAAAAGAATTAGTGCAGATGTCCCTGGTCAAATGAGTAAGACTGAGCTTTCAAGGCAAGAGGTGCGAATGTGATGTCTGGTCTGGGAACTAAGATCCCACATGCAGTGCAGTGCAGTAAAAAGAAAGGAAAGAAGGATGGAAGAGAGAGGGAGAGAGGAACCAAAGGAAGAAGAGGCAGTGTCCTGTACAAAGCGTTGAGGTCATTTACCAGGTCTGATCTTTTCATTTTCTTTGGGAAGAATTTTGTAAGTGAAATGAAAATTGCCCAGATTTCACTGGCAATGTGAAGCCTTTCTTTCTGAGACACACATGGTCTTGCAAATGAAAGGGCATTTCTTGTCTTTCTTGAAAATTTTGATGTTTTGTTCAACATGTATATTTTGGCACTTTTGTTTTTTAATATTGAGTTACAATGTTATTTATCTTGATGTCTTACACTTGGTGCCTTTTTACATATCACATTTAAGAGAAGTCCTTTCTTACTTTATCCCAATACTAACCCAAGAAATAGCTTTAGAAGTACTGTTGCCATCTTCCCTGGATGAAAGTATAGGTATGTCCCATTTCTTGTCATTCTCTCCCATCTCATTGTATAATGGATTTCCTGGTCTCTTTAACCATTAAAAAAAATCTTTGTCTTAAAGTTATATCAGCAAAGGTGGTCTGAGACTAACTGAGCATGATGTAAGGGACTGTTTTCCTCATTTATACTCTTCACAGAGCAGCCATTATTTTGTCAGACAGATTTTCAAGATGCTGGTTCTCTGCAAAAGGATTCAAGTGCTGTAAGATTTCTTTTCATAATGTTCTAGGACTGCTGTAAGCCTGGGATCTTGGGATCTACTACTTCAGAGACTTTTGGGCAGCCCCCTCTCCTAGACTTTGCTTTTGGGGGGACCTCAAAACACAGCATTTTAGCCATTTTCCTTCTCTCAACATCTTTTTTTAAAAAATATGTCTTTTTTTTTGCTATTTAGAAAAAAGATTACCTTTAGACTGCCTTCATCTGATTTCCTCTTCAGCCACCCCTTAGCTTTTGGTAACTACAAATCTTGTTTCTTTTTCTCTCAGTGTGATTTTGAAGTATAACATAATCTGTGTCTTAAAAAGTACCATCAGAGGTGGTCTCACTGGAATTAACTGAGGTTGAGGAAAGGGACTGCTTATCTCATTTATTAACAGAGCTGTTGCTGCTGCTAAGTCGCTTCAGCCGTGTCCGACTCTGTGTGACCCCTTAGAGGGCAGCCCACCAGGCTCCTCCATCCATGGGATTTTCCAGGCAAGAGTACTGGAGTGGGGTGCCATTGCCTTTTCTGTATTAACAGAGCAGTTGTGTTTCATTAGACAACTTTCCTAGAATCTGTTTGTCTGCAAAGAACTTCAAGTGCTGTGGGATTTCTCTCCATAATATACCAGGCACTGATCAAAAGGGAGGAAACTTGGGCTCCTGGTCTCCTTCAGAGTCCTGCAGGCAGTCCCTCTCCTAGAATGAACTTTTGGGGCCTCAATATGCAGACCTTTGACAGAGTTAAGGGGCTTGCAGGCAGAGAGAGCTTCTCTTGGTTGGACTGAGGGTGGAGTAAACAGGTGACCCTTGGTTCTATTGACATGAAAGACTGCTGTCATTCACTAAGTTCCACATGCTCAGCCAGTAATTTACAAACTTTATATTATTTGAACTATATGATGTCCTCTGTGATGATACTAAAGTTGTCTTCATCTTTTAGAAGAGGAAGTGAAATTCTGGTGTGGCTACACTCAGGAGCCCCAGATAGTGTGAGAGTAGACCTTCCTGCCGCGCCCAGTCCCTCCTCTTCATCAGCTCTGAGACCCGGCCCTCAGCTGCTCTGAGCTCCTGCTGCCTCCTTCCTCCTCATCCTGCCTCCAGTGTCCTCTCTCCTACTCCCAGGACGGCAGACACCATCCCTGCATGACTCTCCTGGAATCCACATCACCAAGCACATTGTCACATGTGTGTGTGGTCAGTACACTTTGGTGACAGAATGAAGAGAGCTCTGTGAATTAACCCATGTTCAGTATTATGCCACTAATATCTGTAGACCACCAGAAAACAGGAGCTATGGTCCTGTAAATAACTGTGAAGAATTGAATCCTTATGTATCATACCCTTNGTCAGTTAGAAGGTCCTCATGGAGGATGTGTGTGGGGAAGGGGAGTTTAAAATGAAAAGCAAGACTTTGATCTTGAAAACTACAGGCTATAAGAAATTCTTAAAATAATAAAAGTTGAAAAAAGGTGAATGAAATGTATAAATTTGTGGGATCTTTGTTGATCAATTATTATCAATGAACCCTGTGGAACTTGTTACTGTGGGAACTTGTTACTGCGGGAGCTTGGATATAGCTCAATAACAATATTTTCTGTGCAGCACGTTGACATATCGATTATTAAACTCCTTCTTAGAAAATAATACTATTTGAAGGTAAAGAACATACATGTTTGCAGTAATGAACCTCCTGTTCAAATCTCAGCCAAGATATGGTGGGTGTGCATGAGATGCTTCAACATATTTCAAATGGTCTAATATCAAAGTTTTGGCTTAGCTTCTGGTACAAGATGGCAGAGTAGAAGGACATGCACTCACCTCCTGCAAGAGCACTGAAATCGCAAATAGCTGTTGAAAACCATCCACAGGAGGTCTCTGGAGCCCACTCAAAAAGACACTCCATGTCCAAAGACAAAATAGAAGTTATAATGAGATGGTAGGAGGCGGTCAAGCACAATAAAAATAAATTCCATACCTGCCAGTTGGGAAACCAACAAACTGGAAAACAATACAACGACAAAGTTCTCTCACTGTTGTGAAGGATCTAAGACTCGTGTCAGGCTTCCAGGTCTGCAATGCAGCAAAGGGCCTGGGAATGCCCAGGAAATCTGACTCTAAAGGCAAGTGATATTTGATTACAAGATTTCCACAGGACTGTGGGGGAAAGACTCCATTCTCAAAGGGGACAAACAAAAACTTGCGAGCACCAAGACCCAGGGAAACTGAGCAGCAGTGACCCCACTGGAGGCTGAACCAGACCTACCTGCTAAAGTTGGAGTTTCCTTTGGAGATGGGTCAGCAGTGGCTGGCCGTGGGGACAAGGGCACTAGCAGCAACAATCCTGGACGGTGCCCCTTGGTGTGAGTCCCTTTGGAGTTTGCAGAAAATCACACTTCATTCATGAATAATGTTTCTTATGTCTTTAGTATGAGGAGGGTAACAGTTGGTTTCTGAATTCTTTGTTGGGTTTTGGTCTTTCAGTATCAATGCAGAGGCTCCAGGAGGTGACATTGCCAGCAAGGACAGACAAGGGGCTTTATTAAAAAGAGAACTAGGATCCAACCCGGGACACCATAGGACTGGAGGGCAGAAATCCATTTCACAGCACCTGCTCTTTCCTTCCTGCCTGTGCATGTGTTTGATTTTCTGCATTGATATGAGATCTCTATCCTTTCACTATTATTCATCTTTGTATTACATCAAAGCATTTTCTACTAATTCATCTTTCTCAAAGAGTTTTTAATGATCTCATAGGAGTGCTTTCTAGAGATATGAAATCCAGGAATTGGAATTCTCTTCAGCGTACAGCAAAGGAAGTTCTCACACTGAAAGCCTATGGAACTAGCACCCAAGGTGAACAGAAAATACCTTTGCCAGGGGCCTAGCATCTTTCCAGTGTCTCCTTCCAGTCACTGTCTCAGGCTAGCTGTCCTGTCTTCTCCCTGAGGGCAGCCACTCTGTGATCCTCACAGTCCTGAAGATTTCTGCCAGGAGCGCTTGATGACCCTTGTGTGACTGAACTCATTGAATCCAAACAGTAATCCTGTGAAAACTACTCTTATTGTCCACGTACTAAAGATGAGGAAACTAACTGTTGCGTCTGTGAGATTTTTCTTTCTTTTTTTTTTTTTTTTNAAACCAGCTATGCTTGCTAATAAATGAAAGACTTGTTCTTCCCAGCTTTATGCTTCATTGAGCCTCTGCATTTGGTACCGAGCTGTGAAAAAGTTATGCTTTCCCAACAGGTCAGTACTAAAGACTAACGATGCGACATCCAACTAAAGAAAAATATTCTCACCCCAGGAATGTGTTATCCACACTTTCCATGCTCTCACATTAAAAGCAAGAATCCACTGACTTTAGTTCAGTCCTCGGCAAATAAGCCTCAACATCACAATTTTCAGTTCTGAGAAAAATACCTCTAATTTTTCATTAAAGAAGATATATTTCCATATGAAGACCATCTCTTATCCCTTCATCCTTTACTACAAGGGTAAAACATTGGTTAAGATCATGAAAATCCAATTTCACACATGACATTAGGAAAATGGAATGAAATAAAAATAACCCTCATCACACCGCTGGGGACGCTGAGACTTATACCAGGTGCTAACTGACAAGTGATGCTGGCTCAAAAGGAACAGCTCAACACACAGTTCTTGGACTAGAATTTCCCCAGGTTATTTCTGGCCTGGAGAAAGACAATTTCATAACACTTCCCACCCACCCACCCACCCCCAAAATCTGGAAAAGTTACAGATGATAACCTTTAACACCAAAAAAAACCACTTGATAACCAATACAAAAAAACAGAGTTCATGAAGAGTCCAATAAAGAAACCAAACTCTGCAAGTGGAGTAAATCTTTCCTAGATTCAAACAAATGCTATAGTATCAGATGTTGAAGTTCTCAACTCACAGAATTAAGAGTTCTTAAGCTGTTATCTGTGTCCTGTGTGACTCTCCTATTGAGAAAAAAAATGTCCCCTAGAATTTGCAAAAATGACTGAGACACACCTACAGTGTGTGACAACATGGGAGATGTTCTCAAATCTTTCATGAGGTGAAAGTCACTTTTTACAACTGAAAATGAAAAAGGTGCTACAGAAAGAAACGAAATTTTAAAACTGCATAAAAGCAAAGACTGGCTGAAATTGGTAACTTACTGAGTAAAGACAGTAACAATAACCCACACTAGAACTAACTCCTCCGCAGTGACCCATATACTATCCATGCTGGGATGAGACATGACTGGAGCCCACCACAGTGGAAACCAGCCTCAGCTGCAAGGCTGGAGTTCTGCTCTTTCCGAGTGCTCTGTGCACAGGGTGGTGCCACCTACCAAAGGCAGCCAGGGAGATGGGGAGCCTCTCTCACCAGCCTGCTGCTCACTGAACTGAGCTCTACATCCCAACATGTATCTGTGCATAATTTTATGAAATGTCTAAATGCCATTCACTAGATTTAAAAAAAAAAAAAAACTCTGGACCAAGTATATTGTGAACTTAAAAAAGTTATGAGGAGGGTCACCAATTACATTAACAACACTTTCTTTAAAAAATAGAATCACTTTCTTTTGAAATCAACCACAGTGGTGAGACATGTTTTTCTTTCCAGGTGGCCCGTGATGGCACACAGCTCTACTCGACAAATCCTGCCACCTCCAAGTCCCGGGGTGCTGATCTGCACCAGCACGTGGGGCAGCAGTACTTCCCAACAGTGCGGAGAAGAGCACATGCCCCACTGGGCGATGAGAGCAGACAGACTCTTGGCTTCTCAACGCCAGACACGGTCGGAGAGCTTTCCTTGTCCTATTAGAAAAGTTCATGAGGAAGCTGTGAATAGGATCAGTCCAGAGAAGTAAAACTCTTTTATTTTCACTGTCCAAACATCAGTCAATATACTGGGAGAGCCAGCGGAAGCCCTCGCCGTATCCTTGCCTCTTGAGCACACTGCACATGAACACTTCCATGGGGCAGGCATTCAGCTCCTTCAGGGTCACATTCCCCTTTCCTGTGGTCTGTCCATAAAGCCCAAATATCTCACGGAGTTTTTCTTCACTGATTGCATCTGTTCTGTCAATTTTGTTACCCAAGATAAGGATTGGCACATTGGATATTGTCTCATCTGTCATTAAAGCGTTAAGCTCAACTTTGGATTCCATAAGTCGGGGATGATCTGCACAGTCCACGAGAAAGACAATCCCATTAATTGCTGGGAGGTAATTTTTCCAAACCCGACGTGCTTGCTCATGCCCACCAAGATCAAAAGTTGTAAAAGTCATTCCAGCAATTGTCAGCTCTTCTGATGTTGGATGTAATGTTGGAACATGCTGGCCCAGTCTGTCATCTTTGAGCATGTGTAGAAGAGTGGTTTTACCTCCTGCAGCTGGCCGCCCTCCACCATCTCCTGGGGGAAAGCGAAGTCCATTCTGTCCTGCAGACAGAAGCGAGGGGAGAGCCTCCTCATTTGGCCCAGGAGCCTGAGGGTCTTCCTGCCAGCCAGCACGCGGTTCTGAGACAGGTCACAGCCCAGGGATCCTCCCGGGCCGTAGCTGACCAGCACCAGGGCCATCAGTAGAGAGAGCACGAAGGCCATGGGGAAGATGAGGCTGCTGCTGGGCTGGCGGAGACGGTGTCTGGTGGAACCTTGAGGTAGGTTCTCTGATGCCATGCTTTCTAAGCAAGGCCATTAAATAGGGAACATGGTAGTTTTCATTTTCTAATTGTTTCTGTACACTTTTACTTCCCTTTTTGGTTTTCTGTTATGTATTCTGAATATGGTCAAAGAACTTGTCTTCAGTCTAAACTATTAATTTTACCTTTTCCCAGTAACTTCTGATATGCTTATCCAAATGGATATTCATCATCAAATGAGAAAGGTCTTCGTCTTAAGTTAGAATTGAAGTACATTTTTAATGACACACATTATTACTCCCTCTCATGCATAAATGTTCTTGTCCTCTTTTCTAGGAACACATTTGTAGCCCTCATCTTAGGCTTCATTTTTCTCTCTCACTTTACCTAGGAAGCTAGACTCCCTCAGCTATGGTTTCCATATTTATTTAGGGTTTTACCAGATCACTGTGGCAGTTGAGCTCTTTGAAACAAAGGATGGGTTTTCTTTAGTGTTTGATTTAGAGAAGAGTCTGATTATTATGAGTCCATGAGCTTCTCCAACATTTCTCTTCCTTCTAGAACACGTTCCTGCAGGTCCATGTGGTTGTGTTTAGGGAACCAAGAGGGCAGGACTATTACAGACATCACCCTTTCTTTCCACCATTTTCTTACTGGAGACCTCTTGTCCTCCACAGACTAGGCCAATACACCCACCAGAATCCTGGTTCTTCTCAGGGAACATGGGTGAGGAGACTCTCATTGCAGGATAATTGTATTTCCCATCAGCACCTCATTCACAACGGAGAGATCGCATGGAGCCACACCCTGTCCTCTGGAGTGACAGAGTCGGTTCCTCACCAGCTGGACTCCCTCCCTGAGGACAGACTCACCACATCCTGTGGATTTGAAAATCTCTTTTCTGTGGAGGGCTTGTTTATTTGTTGGGAAAATAAATTCTCTTCCTAGACCCCATCCTCTCCCCTGGAGTGTTTCTGTGAAGGACCCTAGGTCTTGGTGGTGACCTCCTCTTCTCCTGACCAGTTTCCCAAGGTGTCCAAAGTGTCAGCAGTGCTCAGATGCTGAGAGCAAAAGTGTGTTTGTGTAAGTTGGTGAAGGCAGTTTCCAACTGCAATCATTTTGCTTTTAGTAGATAAATAATATCTACTTTGCCAAGTATAGTTTTTATTATCAAATTCTTTTACTTAAACTCTTCAACACTTGTTCTGCTCAGAGTTTCTGAGCTGGAGGAAGGAGATTCAGTGCTGGTGTTGTCTCTTGTTGGAAGCTTATGTCACAGAATCTAGTGAATTACAGTCGTTTATTCAGGCAGTTGATTCCACCGAGCATCTCTGTTCCTCTCTTTCTGTCTCCTCCGAGAATGCAGGGCAGTGAGACTCAGCCTACTAGATCAGGAGAAATAGCCTTCTTTCCTTGAGTGTAATTTTTCATTTAAACTTTTTATATTCACTTAGGGACTTATTGGACAAAATTTGTTTCACTGCTCCTTCTCTGGTTGTAATTCATGATCAGGTGAGAACAATGAAGGGAAGTAAAGAAAACCCGAGGGGCTGCATCACTTTCAAGAGGTTAGATTTTTTTTTGTTTCTCTTTGCAATTTTTCTAGAAAGTAAAATTGCACCATTGTTTTGTGGACAACAAGAAAACAAGAGTAATTCTCACTGTCATGAATATGAAAGAAGGGAAGTGGTTTTCCCCTGACACAGTGATGTATGCTGGGTTAGCAAACTTCAGGGCAGCATAGCTGGGGCCTAACCTGTGGCAGAAGGGAAGGATTGGGTCAATATGAACAACAGAAAGGCTGGGACATGCTGCTTCTGATAAAAGCTCAAGGAAGGCCAAGTCCTGAGTCTGTAGACTGCCCTCAGCTTTGTAAGACCAGTCACCTGATTTTTCTTTCCTTTAATCCATATGTGGTCAGTTATAAGGGGAGATGGAAGAAGTCACACGCACCAGCTCATGGGAGACGGGCAATCAGAAGCCCAGTTGCTCGAACACTAACCCTCTCTCACAGTGAACAACAGAAAGCCTGGAACAGGGCTGCTTCTTACAGAAGCTCAATGAAGGCCAAGTCCTGAGTCCGTTGACTGCCTTCAGCTTTGAAAGACCAGCTAGCTGATTTTCCTTTCCTTTAATCCACATGTGATCAGCATAAGGGGAGATGGAAGAGAGATGGGCAATCAGAACCCCAGTTTCTAGAACACAAACCCTTTCTGGCAGGGTTGAGGAGACCAGCCTTGCCTAGCATCTGTGTAGTTGATAAATGCACTTGGGTAATGAGAAGATGCTTTGACAAAACTAGAATGAAAGGGAATGAAATGATTCCAAAAGATCCTGATCTTAATCTGGTTAACAGTAAAATTATGATATTAAAAGTAAGAGCTGCATTTTATTGATTGCTAACCCTAATGATCTCTTTAATATTCCAGTTTCTGATAGGATCACATTCATGGGTTCAGTTTCTGCAGGTTTTTTAAGAATTTTAAAAATATTTATTTTATGTGTTAATTTGGCTGGGCCAGGTCTCAGTTGAAGAATGCTGGGTCTTGCATCTTCCTTGCTTCATGCAGGATCTTTACTTGGGCCATGGGAAGTCTTGCCTGCCTCATGCAGGATCTAGTTGCCTGAACAGAGATCCAACTCAGGCTCCCTGCTTTGGGAGCATGGAATCCTGGCCACTGGACCATTAGGGAAGTCTTGAGGGGAGGGGTTTCAATATATGAATTTGGCAACCACACACGCATTCAGTCTGTAGCATGGTAATAAGAAGATACCAAGGTACTGTGGTTATGGCAAGGATTCATTAGGATGTTTCCTTCTCGGTATTTATTTGTGGAGAAAGAACACATTCCGTGATGCTATCCTCACTTTTTATGGCACATCCATTTTGAATTGTTTACTAATTAAATGTTGTTCATGTTGTACTGTGAACCTAATTACCAAGGATCTACCAGGCTTCTCTGTGGCTCAGATGTAAAAAATCTGCCTGCAATGCAGGAGACCAAGGTTCAACCCCTGAGTTGGGAAGATCCCCTGGAGAAGGAAATGGTAACCCACTCTAGGATTCTTGCTTGGAGAATTCCTTTGGGAGAGGAGCCTGACAGTCTACAGTTTATGGGACCGCAAAGAGTCGGACTCAACTGAGTGACTAACACTTTTGCCAGACAGATTCCACAGACTATCAGGGTTCATCAAAAATGACAGTGACAACAAGGACAAATTCCTTAGCCTCTGTAAGGGACTCACTTAATCCTTACAACATAGTTAAAACTGAGTTAATATTTTCCTTTCCAAGAGCCCCCTGTTAAGACTTTATTTGAATGAAATAATCTAAGAATGATTTTGCAAATTCAGGTTTCAAAACCTAATATGTCAGATTCCAAACTCTCTATCCACAGCCTAAACACCTGACCACACTGCATGTACTGAACTCTCACTTATTTCCCTATTTTACTTCTAACACAAGATGTTCGTTTGGTGTTTCATACCTCGATGTTTCAAATCTCTTATTTCCATTAATTAACGCCTCCCTCCAAATTCTAGATAAACTGAGCGATTTACAAAGTATCCTGATTATTATGTATAAGAAGCAAAATGAAATTATCAAGTGGTAGGTATTACTGAGAGTCTAACTGTGCTTGACAAAATTAATAATTCTAATAATTATAAAATAATCATTGTTTACTGTCCAAGATGACTCATAGATTGTTANCCACAGCATAGACACCTGAGCACACTGCATGTACTGAACTCTCACTTATTTCCCTACTTTACTTCTAACACAAGATGTTCCTTTGTTGTTTCATACCTTGATGTTACAGATCTCTTATTTCCATTAATTATCTTCTATCTCCAAGTTCTAGATAAGGTGAGTGATTTACAAAGTATCCTGATTAGTTTGTATAATAAACAAAATTAAGTTATCAAGTGGTAGTTATTACTGAGTGTCTAAATATGATTGACAAAACTAACAATTAAAAAACAATCATATTTAACTCCAGGATGACTCATATAGATTGTTGAGTGATCCTCACCATAAAATTGAGATACATGATGGACAAGATCCTTGAGAGTTATGACTCTCCAGTTATGAGATTGGATTACAAACATTTCAGTGAATCCTCTATAGAAAACCCCAAGCTGACGGTACTTGTGGATATAGGTAAAACATACTGAATGCTACCAAATTACACGAATGTGGGCAACGACTGGAAGAATACAAGACGACGCATGCTAACGGGTGAGTTGTGAGGGATGGAGCAGAGCATCCCCATGGCCATCAGCAGGGCAACCAGGAGTCCAGAAAGTCAGCACTTGCCCTGGGCCTCAGGGAAACAGCTCAGGTCCTGCACTGAGCTAAGCTGCCCTCCAGGCTCCTCTTGCTGCGCCCCAAAGGCCGGGAGGGGGCGCCCGATCTCTCAGGAACTGACAGACCGGCGCCGCCAACCCAGCTGGACCCGCCTCCAGGTACAGAGCGGCCAACTCGGGCGGCGGATCCACGGGGAGAACTCGGGGGTCGCCCTCGGCGGGAGCCGCCGGAGCCCAGGGAGCGCCTGGG